AAAGAGTGATAGCAAAAATAATGCTACAGCATAATGTGGTCCTCAAAAAAGAAGAGTAAATGAGCTTTCTTACAGATATCACAAAGAGCAAAAAGGACAATAAATTCTATTATCTTATGCCTTTAAGAGTTTGTGTAAGCAACTGCTTAGGGTTAATGGGACAGACCCTATTAGGGTTCAACGTAAGGTATGCCAATAGCAGCCATGGCTTTTACAGCCTTCAGCACAGACTAAAATTGTTCATGAAACTAACATATTCAAAACCACAAATAAGGAAGAAGGGCATTTTACTGACCACAGTGGAGCGCCATGAGCCATCCCATTTAACAAAGTGGAGGCTACTTAATGTTTCAAAGATAATCAAACTGCAGGAGAGCCTAGCTTGAAGGCAGTGTGAGTCTAGAACATAGGCTTCAGATAAATGACTGCACACACAAACATTACTTGATTACATACTTACCTTTTTGTTTTCCTCCCCCTCCCAGCAGGATCCTTGAGAGCAAGAACCTCAAGTGTTCTTTAAAATGAAAAGAAACATCTATACACTCAAGAGCTCCTTAATAAATTCTAATAAATAATACCCTGCTGGGGTGGGTGTAGGGGGGCAATTCTCTGAACATTTTTCCAAGGCTAGTTTTGAGCTTTACAGAAAAAAAGTATTTCTTACCTCAAACAGTGAACACAAAATAACAAGAAAAAGATTTAAAATCACACTTACCCTCCCAGCAAATCTGCAGTGTCACTTTGCTGATTCATATTGACAACCCTCAAACGGTGGCCTTTAATAAAGAAAGGGCAAAAGGGTTATCCTGAAAATGTAAAGACTGACAATATCCAGTGTGATCCTTAAGGATGTGTGGACAAGGGCACAGGGCAAATCTTAAAATGTGCATTTCCTCTGACCCCCTCATTTTACTTTCAGGAATCTTGACTATTCAAAATGTTCACCTAACCCAGAGATATGTAAAAGAAGATTCATTTCTCTAGCATCAGGTAACTGAAAACAACAAAAAACCCTTCAGTAAGTCAATGTCTGTCTATGAATTAGAACTAAATAAATATCCAGTGTGAAATATTTGTCTGTCTATGAATTAGAACTAAATAAACATCCAGTGTGAAATATTATTTAGCCATCAGAATAGGAATGAGGCAGTTCTGTTTTTAAAGATGTCCAGTTTGCTTATTAACTAAATGTAATACATAGAGAATGATCCCGTTTGTTTCAAAACAAAACCAAATCTGTATGTATTTGTAGACCACAGATTAGAACTGAAAAAAGTTAATACCAATCTGTTAACAGTGGTTATTTCCAGGGGGAAAGAATACATTATTTCCAAGGTAAAAATTTCCAGTGCTTATCTCCAGGGGAAGTGGAGTGGTAGCACTTCTTAAATTCCAATATTCTTTGGACTTTTTTTTTTTAAAAAGGCAGTCAGGGGACTTCTCTGATGATCCAGTGGCTAAGGATCCGCACTTCCAATGCAGGGAGCCCGGGTTCGATCCCTGGTCAGGGAACTAGATCCCACACACTGCAACTAAGAGTTCGCATGCCGCAACTACAGATCCCACATGCCACAACTAAAAAGAGCCCATATGCCGCAACTAAGACCTGGCACAGCCAAATAAATAAATAAATATTTTTTTAAATAATAAAAAGTCAGTCAGTGTCAAATGTCTGTTGTCTGGGGGCAGAGTGCTTCCCCTCTAGGAGTTACCTGTAATATGAGCCAAGTACTGGACGGTGGAGGTTTTGCCGGTCCCGGTCTCTCCCACCAGCAACACAGGCTCCCCTTTGCTAACACACACCGCGAGCTGTTCAATAAGAACAGAGGATGGCCTCGTAGCAGCAAAGGTGAACTTCTCCCTGGGAAGGAGAAAGTATGTAAGCAGCTGGAGGAACAGGCTGCAAGCTTCTCTTTATGTTATTTTGAGGAATCAGATTTCCCACATTCAACAAACAAGGAGACAACTCAGAGTGACGGTCTTCATGTCATAACACAGGGGTCCCCAACCCCTGGGCCATGGACTGGTACCTGTCCATGGCCTGTTAGGAACCGGGCTGCACAGCAGGAGGTGAATGGTGGGAGAGCGAAGCTTCATTTGTATTTACAGCTGCTCCCCGTCGCTCGCATTACCACCTGGGCTCTGCTTCCTGTCAGGTCAGCGGCGGCAGCGGCGCCATTAGATTCTCATAGGAGTGTGGTAAACCCTACTGTAAACTGCATGCAACGTATCTAGGCTGCACGCTCTTTATAAGAATCTAATGCCCGATGATCTGAGGTGGAGCTGAGGCGGTGATGCTAGCGCTGGGGAGCGGCTGCAAATACAGATTATCATTAGCAGAGAGGTTTGACTGCAGTGAGACCATAATAAATCGACTGCTTGCAGACCCATATCAAAACCCTATCAGTGGGCTTCCCTGGTGGCGCAGTGGTTGAGAGTCCGCCTGCCAATGCAGGGGACACAGGTTCGTGCCCCGGTCCGAGAAGATCCCACATGCTGCGGAGCGGCTGGGCCCGTGAACCATGGCCGCTGAGCCTGCGCGTCCGGAGGCTGTGCTCCGCAACAGCAGAGGCCACAACAGTGAGAGGCCCGCATACCGCAAAAAATAATAATAATAAATAAAGTTTAAAAACAAAAAAAACCCCTATCAGTGAGTGGCAAGAGACAATTAAACTGCACCTTACGGACTAGACTGGACATAAGCAACACACTTCGGGTGTCACTGTCTCCCATCGCCCCCAGACGGGACCATCTAGTTGCAGGAAAACAAGGTCAGGGCTCCCACTGATTCTGCATTATGGTGGGTTGTATTAATTATTTCATTATATATTACAATGTAATAATAATAGAAATAAAGTATACAATAAATGTAATGTGCTTGAATCATCCCGAAACAACCCCCGACCAACCCCATCTGTGGAAAAAGTGTCTTCCCCGAAACCAGTCCCTGGTGCCAAAAAGGTTGGGGACCGCTGCTATAACAGATGTCCTTACAACATATGAACTGCAGAATTCATTCATTCTACATACGTGAAGCATTTACATAACTGCTACTTCACTAGGCTCTGGAAATTCAAAACACCAATAAGATAAAACATCTGTACTACCTATGTCATCTTGCGCAAACTACTTAACCTCTCTTAGCCTCGGTTTCCTAACTTGTAAAATCTGGATAACGACAGTTACTAGCTGTAGTGAGTTGAATTATGTTCCCCCAAAATTCATGTCTATTGAGGACCTGTGAATGTGACTTTATTTGGAAAAAAGCTCTTTACATGTATAATAAGATTAAAACCGTATCATACTGGATTTAGGGGTCAATCTTAAATCCAATGGCTGGTGTCCTTATAAAGAAAGAGAAATGTAGAGACACAAAGAAATACACACAGGGAAGAAGACCATATGACAATGGCATCAGAGATTGGACTGATGCAGCTACAAGGCAAGGAACACCAAAGATTGCTGGGAGCCAGCAGAAGCCAGGAAGATGCAAGGGTCTTCAGAGGTAGTGTGGCCCCGCCAATACCTTGGTTTCAGCCTTCCAGCCTTCAGAACTGAGAATAAATGCCTGCTGTTTTAGGCCATCAAGTTTATGGTAATTTGTTAGGAGAGCCCTAAGGACACTAACACACACATTAATTCATAGGTTTACTATAACCACTACATGAGAAAACATGTAAAAAGATACTCAGCACAATGTTAGGCATATAGCAAATATTTAATAAGTAACTAATAAATCTCAGAAATGTATACAACTCCAGCCCTCAAGGGATTAACAGACTAATGTTAGGACCAAGCCTGACCTCCAGGTGATGCTTACTTCACTAAACACACTACAATGAATAAAATCAAAGATACACCTTTGCTAGTCCCAAGTCTCTAATGACCCTCATCACCTCCTCCACCTATTAACATCTAGTTTCACAGAACACATTTTGGGAAATCACTGCTCCTTACTGTCTAGTACACTGGAGAGATCACAGTTCTGACATGTTTTACTCAAAAATAAGGGGCTGGACCAGACATTCCTTCTATCGATTTCCCAACGACCCCACAGTGCTCAGATCAGTTTGGAACCCTGTTTACCTCTGTATGTGGACAGCCTCACTTTGTTTCCGTAGAAGCCGCACTCGACCCACTTGCACATCTAGCTCGTTGATCGCAATTTCTGGTTTATAAAGTTGACAGAAGAATTCAGTCTATGGGAGGGGAAAGATTTTGCCTGAGTAAAATTCTGCATGCTCTTCAAATACTTCTCATCCGTGAGGCTTACTGTGCTCCTCTAACATGCCCTCTTACTAAGAGGCATTTTCAGGCTTCCAAGATCGGTAAGTTAGCTTTTAATTATATATTTTAAAATTCTCCAAGTTTCTAATATGTTTTTAAAAACACTGATCATGAATGTTTCCCTGTAATAGTACTTTTTATTCATTCAAATGAGCCTCTATCTACCTATATGAAGTGAACACAGTGAACAGAAAGTTTTACTCCTAAAAGATATGAAAAAAACCAAAGTAATTTTTCTTCCTCTATGCTTTCCTGTGCTTTAAACTTCTAACATAACGCAGGAAACGGTCACTTGAATAAACCATGATACATCTGACAACAGCCAAAGCAGAAAGAGAAGCTGTGACAGAGGCTCAGGACACATACCCATCAGGCTTATCCTCATCGCTAACCCCAAGAACCAAGATTTTGCTCAGGGTTTGGGGTTAGGAGTAAAAGGGGCAAATTGCCCAGGGAAGGTAAACCCCTCTTCAACCAAAGGGGCTGAATATTGATCAACCTAAGCCAATCATGGTAGTCTCATTTCTCTTGTCTACTGTAATTAACATACTTATTACTTCAGCCTCTTTTAGTAGGTGCTCTGTTACCTGCAGCCAAAACCATCCCGATAGTTTCATACGCCTAAGGAACACCTCTAACCATCTCGGTTCCTGACTAAGGCTTTTCTGAGTCATCATTCATTTGGGAACGCCAAATATCTGCCTCAAGATGAGCCCCAGACATTTCTCCAGCTACCAACACCATTGCTGAAAGGCTCTCTCCTCCAGAAGTACATATTTTGATATAAAACAGGAAAGGCAAATATTAACAGTATCAGCAGTGAACCTAAGTAGTGGGTATACAGGTGTTCACTAACACTTTTCAACTTTTTTGATATTTGAATATATTAACTATAAAAAGTTGGAAAAAATCTAATTGTGCACAGAACTATAGACAAAGGTGTTACTAAGACATGGTCCCAGTCCTGAAACCACAACCTACAGAATAACATGCTCCTTAAGCACTGGAGAAAAAGGCGTGTGTGTGAAAAAGGATGCAAGGCAGCTCACTCTAAGAACGTGGAACACAGGGAGAACTACTTATCCAGGAGACAGTGAGTTTTATGCCCATGAGAGGCAGCAATGAAACTACCAGCTTTGACAGAGGAGGTTGTTATTTGCAAAAGCTGTTCCAGGTAAGGACCAGAGACCAGCAATTAAGCTAAATATCCCAGCTTCCTTTCAAGAGGGAAGTAAAAATAGTATTACATACCTTTTTCTTGGAAATGTTCAATTTGCTTCCAATGACTTCTGCCATTTTCAGTTTGCTTGTCTGCTTAGAAAGCATTGCTGTGAAACAGTCCAGAGCCTATTAAAATAACCAAGGTAAATGCCAACTGATTTTTAAAATAATACATTAATAACAGAGCATGACTATCCAGGCCACAAAAGGGAGGAACATAAAATCCAGCAGAACTTTTCTGCAAGTAAGGCTAAGGAGAATACAAATAAAGTACCAACCCTAGACTCAAAGGACCTTACCATAACAGAGACAGGACACCAAAAAATGTGAAGACTTTACTATCAAAATACCGGTTAATTAGGAAAACACACACAAACGCCTCAGTCTGCAAATCCAAAATTCAGGTAATAATAGCAATTAGCATTAATCCTTGGGTATATGGTTCTGTGGGGGGGAAATGACTTCCAGACAGTGGAGGTAACACCAAAAGATTACTTTCTAGATGTAAAGGGGGACTCCTGGTGTGCAATAAAGGGATTACACTGTCATTACCCTAACCCAGTACTTAATCTTAGCAACGACTGACAGGCCAACAAGATACATGTCTTCTGCTATAATGAAATATAAAATACGTATCACCACCAAATGGATTCTACCCCTACAAAAGCTGAATTTGAATACATCAAGCATTTTGTTAAACTTCTACTTACAAGAAAGATAAAATAACAAGGGAAAGGACGCGAGTATGGCAAAACAAAGAATATATCTGGTTCTGCTGCCACCAAGTGTAATGTATCAATAAACTTCACGCAAGCATTTAAAAAAGAATGTATCTAGTTTTGTCCCTAATGCCTTACACAGAGCTTCAAAAATTCTTGGAATTACCAGGAGTAAGGAGTGTCTTTTGTTATTTACTGGAGCCCTTATGGACCTTAGCAGGTTTATTATGCTAAGCAAGGTAACTCTTGATGGGCCCTTAGATAGTTTCTGGCCAGGCCAGAAAGACCAAGGGTTGAAACTTCCAGCTCCATCTCCAACCTCTGGAGGAGGGGAGGGGATGGAGATAGAGTTCAATCGAATAGCCAATGTCAGAATAAGACCCCAATAAAACAATGGACATCCAAAGCTTAGAGAGCTTCTGGTTGGTGACAAAGTGATGTACCAGGAAGGTGGCACACCCTGACTCCACAGGAGTGCCTGTGCTCAGACTCCTGAAACCTTGCCCTATGTGTCTCTTCCATTTGACTGTTCTTGAGTTATATTTTTTATAATAAAACTGTGACCTGTATGGTGAGTACAGAGCTTCCAATGAGTTCTGTGAGGTGATTACTGTACCTGAGGAGGTTGTGGGAACCCCTGAATTTACAGCTGATAGGTCCTAAGTGTGGGTGGGCATCTGAGACTTGTGGCTAGAGTCTAAAGTGGGGCAGACTTGCGGAGGACTGAGCCCTTAAACCTGTGGGGTCTACACTAACTCCAGGTAGTCAGTATCAAAACTGAACTGAATTGCAGGACACCAGTTGGTGTCAAAGCAGTGAAGAAGCAACCAGATAAAGCCAGAAGATGAAACATTCTGTAAAACAACTGGCCTGATCTCTTCAAGGGTATGTGTGGGGTGGGGGGGAAGGTTCTGATACAGTAAAAAAAGTTCTTAATCCCATTCGCATAGAAAAGGATGTGGAAGGAGATTCATCAGGGTATTAACAGTACTGGGGGGGCTTCCCTGGTGGCGCAGTGGTTGAGAATCCGCCTGCCAGTGCAGGGGACACGTGATCGATTCCTGGTCCGGGAAGATCCCACATGCCGCGGAGCAACTAAGCCCGCGCGCCAAGACTACCGAGCCTGCGTTCCAGAGCCCACGAGCCACAACTCCTGAAGCCTGGGCGCCTAGAGCCCATGCTCTGCAACAAGAGAAGCCACCGCAATGAGAAGCCCGCGCACCGCAATGAAGAGTAGCCCCCGCTCACCACAACTAGAGAAAGCCCGTGCACAGCAACAAAGACCCAACGCAGCCAAAAATAAATAAATAAAATAAAATTTTAAAAATTAAATAAAATAAAGAAAAGTACAAAACAAGGTTACCTGTAAGAAAGATGAGAAATGCAGGAGAATGGAAAGGAAATTTCAATGGAGAGAAGAGGATTAAAGGACTGGCACACAGCACTTCAGAGTTCGGCCAGCTTAAGTGTGTGTTCCAAATGTGGGTTCTTTCTCCTCAAAATAAGTTAACCAAACACAGAGAGAAACTGCTAACCAAAATGGGTCACTATTCTCTCCTCAGTCCTAGCTGACAGAAACCAGAACACTTTATAGTCAAAATGGGTTAATGTTTTAACAGCCCAGAGATCTTCAGGCAGCATCACTTTAATCTTAAGCAGGCGGGAATAACTCTGTGTTCTACTGAATGTGGCAGAGCTACAATTCAATAGAGCTTCCCTCCCACGCAACACATTTTGTCCCCACGTCCAGCACACAAGGATGTACTTTACAAACCCCACATTAATTTCTCTGGACTAAAGTTAAAAAGGCCCTACTGAGGCTAGTGGTGGGATGAGACAAATATAAATCTATCAAATAGACTAAGAAATTATATATATATAGAAATAAATACTAAAGATATTTTATAACAGTATTATCACCTGGGAGACTTTCTTTTCATTTAAGCTTTAATTTCAGTACTGTATCTGTTTCACTCTAATTCAAACTATACTTATTTGAAATTAGTAGTAACCTGTTTCAAAAACCACAAAACATTTATTATGCCCAATCAGTTTTAAGGCAACATTAGTTCAGTTTTAACTAGCTAAGGATAATAAACGGTACCTACACAAAAGAAAAACTTTTTGATAGCAGTGAAGACACAGAAAATAACAGTGGAAATCAACAGCCTTAAAGAGCACAGAGAAACAAGCAGGAAGACTGTATCTTACCTCTTGAAAAATATTTAATGATGCTGATGAAGACAGACTGTCAAAGCTGTGGGCAATCCTATTACACCAATTCAGTAGATCCCTTTAAAAAAAAGGGGGGGGCGGGGGGCAAGAAATAAAAGACCATAGGCCAAAGACATCAAAGGCATCAGAGCTTACTTAGGTCTGGGAACACCTGACAACAAAGACTCTCCTTTTCTTCTGGCAACTGAAGATAAACAGTGTCAGGAAAAAGAATGAGTGGTCCCAGTCCCTCTCCTACCAGGAAGCGACCCAGAACTCACTTTTCCCCATCCATGCCAGACACGGTAGCAGGAGACAGGGAGCAATTAATTCTCAGAGCAAACTGAGGGGAGCTGCCCACACCTAATTCTCATTTCTCAAAGGGCAAGTCAACCACTGAGAACGAAGCGCAAAGGCATGGATGGAACTCACTATACAGAGCAAAGCCCAAGAGTCTTTTATTTAAGACCCCAAGCATCACAAATGGACATCCAGTCAAAGAGCTATGTCAGTAACTATTCCCAACTTTGGCTTTTAAAGTTATTTGCTAAACTTCCAGTTATAAGTAAGTCCTAAGAATATAACGTACAACATAAGTACAATTAACGCTGCTGTATGTTATATATGAAAAGTTGTTAAAGAGTTCTCATCACGAGAAAAAACATTTTTTTTTTACTGTTTCTTTAATTTTGTACCTATGAGATGACAGATGTTCACTGAACTTATTGCAGTGATCATTTCATGATGTATGTAATCATTATGCCACATGCCATAAACTTATACAGTGCTATGTCAATTACATCTCAATAAAACTAGAAGAAAAAAGTTATTTGTTAAAGTTAACATAATGTTACCTTCATAAGCCTTCCCATTCAGTAACTATAGATCTCAAAAAGGGACTGAACACTACGAAGCGGCCCAAACGTCTAATTTCAAAACCTGACTTCTTGTAACCACTCAGTTCTAGCTGCTAAGAACTTCTGAGGGAAGCAGTTTTTAAAATACCAACTCAAAAGTGTTTAGCCCAGTACCTGAGAGACAATTCTCTCCCCTCAAGGCTTAGTCTTTTGTGTTCCCATCTGGCTTCTGAAACTTCCTCGGGTGCCTGTTCCCCTCCAACAGAACTATCACTCAGAGGGTGATGTTTCTCTCCAGTAAGCCGGATGTAAATGTCAAGCAGGTGATCGGTTGCTACCGATAAGCTGGGATATCTATTTTGAAGAACCTGACAGAGAGAGAAAAAAAAGCAAAGAAAATTTAGCAGCAGACAGAGTGATTTTTTTTTTTTTTGCAGTACGCGGGCCTCTCACTGCTGTGTCTCCCATTGCGGAGCACAGGTTCCGGACGCGCAGGCTCAGCGGCCATGGCTCACGGGCCTAGCCGCTCCGTGGCATGTGGGATCCTCCCGGACCGGGGCACGAACCCAGGTCCCCCGCATCGGCAGGTGGACACTCAACCACTGCGCCACCAGGGAAGCCCGAAAGAGTGATTTTTAAAAGCACACATAAACTGCTGCTGACACTAGTCAACCAAAAATGAATTTTTCTAAGAAATCTGTCATCTTAACCAAGTATAATAATTTCCACCCTCACCCATACCTCCCACCTCTCAAAAGACCATGACTTTTTCCTGCCCAGAACTCAGTTATCTGGCAATCTCACCGCCTATCACACAGCTTAGGGTATAGAAGCTAGATGGGAAAAGGGTCTCAAGCAACATAGGCATCCAAGTCCCAGACACTTACTCATTGAAGTATCCTTCAACTAATACGTACTCTAATTTTTTAAACACAATTCTAGTACAGTCATTAAGTCATTTCTCAGACAAAAGCAAATAAGAAGCAGTTTATGGGAAAAGGAAAGTTTTTTAAAGCAAATCACAGTAAAAGGAGCTAGTGTTAAGTCCTGATAAAAAGTAGTTTTTATCAGACAATAGAATTTAACAAGCAAAAGATCTAGCCCAATTCACTTTGATAACTATTAAGAATTTTGTGCAGTATAATACTTGGTGCCCATAATATTGGTTCAACGCTTTTATGATATGGATTTGCTAAGTCAAGTCTACTTGAGAAGGAAGAAAAATACCATGTATATATTAGAAATATTATACCCTAATACATTTAAATTGAGAAGTATATCACGATTCCAATTTATATATGAAATATCAACATATTTTGTATATATTAAAGTTGTAAGGTCCACTAAAATCTTTTAACAGTGTCATCAAGTGGTAGATCTCATATATTTTTATTTCTTCATACTTTTTTTTTAAACTGGAGGATTTTACAACAAATATTATTGAAAACATTTCAGATGTATTGAAAATTAAGGACAGAAAAAGAATAATAAAATCAACAAATTCAATTTAATGGATACACATGTGGATCTTTCAAATACAGAATATACATTTTTTGTGTACGGAGGGAACATTTTCAAAATCGCCCATATATTTGTGGACCCTGGCTACCATAAACAAAATATACTTATTTCCATCACCCCTAAAACAAAAAGTTCCCTTTTGTTATCACTCCCTTCCTCCACATCCCCGTCCCTGGAATCCTGCACCTGATTCAGATCTCTATACAGTTTTGCTTTCAAATCTTATCATATACATGGAATCATATGGGATGTAGTGTGTAGTTCGGTTTCTCTTACTCAGCATAACGTTTTGAAATTCATCCAGACATTACTGTATGTATCAGTAGTTCATTCTATTTTACTGCTGAGTAGTAATTCCATCATATGAGCATGTTGTATATTTATAATCAAGGTGAAAAAAAGAAGCTGTTTTTACTTGAAAAAATTTTGTTAGGTTTAACACTTTAGTAAGGGCTCAGTTATTTGGAAAAAAAGTTCTGAATAGAGATTTCTATGTACCAACCAATTAGTCATTTTCTACCTTAGTCAAAAAACATCTTTTGTTATTAACATGAATGTCAAAATTTAAACACAATATCACATAATAAACTAATCTAACATGATATGGTTGTCAATTTGATATGTATTTTGGAGATTCCTTCCTTTAATAAGCGTTTATTAAGTACCTACTTTGTAGCAGGCACTATTCCAGGGACAGAGAAACAAAATAAGGAATGGAACCCGTCCTCGAGAAACTCCCCGTAATATAAGAAGCAGATATGAAAGCAAAAGCAAGCTTGCAGCCTAACGGACAGCATGGTCGGCCCTGCTTGGGAGACCCGGGAAGGTTTCACAGAGCAGGAGAGGCACCTGGCAGAGGTCGCTGGTAACTGTGAGAGGGGACTGCTGGCAGAGAAAGCAAGCCATCTCTGGTGCCAGCACGTGAGGCATCAGGGCACATTCAAGGTGTACGGGAGAGACAAGGTGTGAGAAACTGCTAGGGGTAAGTTCCCGGCACTTACTAGGTATGAGACTAGCATTATGTAAAGAGCTTGTTTTTTGAAGTGTAATTTGATATTTCAGCAAGAAGTCAAAGCCAGTCTTTCTAAGCATAAGACGGCTGTGGTTGGCAGCAACAGAAATGCAGTTCCTTGTGTTCCCCATGAGGTCGGCATAGGAGATTATTTTATTTCCTAAGTAATACACACAAGGTTTTTAGCTACCAGTCATTTATTTAGCAGAGTGTTATTAGGTATTTAGGAGAGTGTTATTAGGATCAGTAAGTCCAGAAGCTTAAAAATAACCAGTGAGCTTCTGAAAGTCAGCTACCTAAATATGACCTAGGTCACTGAAGCGAGGAGGTGTGTGCTCCTGTCGCACTTGCGGTGAGCAGAGTGACACACTGCTGATCAAGGCAGGAGTCGAAGGAGGAGTTCTGGCTCATCCTTCAAGTACAGAATACAGTAAGAACGGAGTGGCTGTCAAATGTTCTTCTCATCCTCTCAATCCCCAATAAATTACACCTAAATGTGAACTTCAGCCCTCTCCTTTAAAGAAAAGACTCACAATTTAAGTCTGAAAACAAAACATTTAAAGGTCTGCAACAGCAAAAGAAAGAGGAGCACTATGACAAAGCAATACAACAAACATTTACAAAATGCCAGGCACGGAGTGGATGCTGGGGACACCAAAGCTGAGTTAAGTTACTGGAGGAGCTTACAGCTGAGGGCGGCAAGAGGGGAAAAGAAAGACATACAGGACACACAAATACACAACTGGGAACTAGAGTGAGATAAGAAACTCACAAGTGTAAAACAGGCTGTAGGGTTATACAATCACACCATCAAGGCAAGGCTTCTTAGAGATTATACCATCAAGGTTTACGCAGTAATCGGTGAACTCTGAAAACCCCTCTGCTAGTAAATACCTAAATGCTAGATAAAATATTTGAAAAGGTTGTCTGGTGCCACTTATTTATCTAAAAACTTATACCAAGAAAGAGGAAAGCATCGCTGCCATGACTGAATGATCACTGACAATGCTTTATTTGCGGCTCTCCAAGATGAAACGTTGGAAGTCGGGACGCTTCCCAAGTGAGGAGGTAGATCCAAGGGGAGACAGGAGGTTGGCAGGGTAAGGTGAGGCACACCTCTCAGTGTTCGCGGAGAACCAGAGATACTACAAAGTAAATCTATGTATAAAACCTTTAAAATAAGTCATCTCAATTTTCATTAATACCCAGATCAAAATGTACATAAAGTTGTTAAGTGTGCAAGATATTAGTTACAAAACAACTTAGTATAAAAAAGATCCTTTGCGGACAACTGGGGAAACTTAAACATGGTCTGAGAATTAAGTGCTACTGAGGAATTCATTTTATTGGGTATAATAATCACTACGGTTATATATGGAAATGCCCTTAGAGATGCATGAAAGTATTTAAGGGTGAAATGCTATGAGGTTTGCTTTCAAATATATTAGCAAATAAAAACTACTAGATGAAATTAATACAGTAAAATGTCAGCATATTAACTGTTAAATTTAGAGTGACGAGTATTTTGGTGACTCATTGGGCTACTTCCTCTGTTTACATGTAAGTCTGACACTTTTAATAATGAAGAGTAAGAAAGAAAAGCATTGATACTTTCAAATAACCCCATACCTCATTCAGTTCTGTCTTATCCATGTTATCCAGGTAAATTTTGGTCCAGTATTTGTCTAGCAGAGTAGCATGACTATTTAGCGGTCGATACCAATTTCCTCCACAGCTCAAGAGTCTGTATTTCAGAATGAAAAACAGAGTCACACAAAATTCCCAATTTTAATCTTGAATTATGCCCCTGGTTATCCCTTGCTAGACGTTATCTCACATCTGAGTAAAACTCACAGCTCCTTCTGGTGCCAGACAGCACTATGTTGGGCTTACAGGGAGCATGACAATGAAAGGCTGCCACCAAGCCAGGTTTGACTATTTTCCTAGGGGGAGTAATAGGGCTTTAACCAAGTTATTTTCACATCACTGCAAATGATCCTATTAGGCGTTTTGAACTCAACAACATGTTCCTTTTCCTTAAGACATAACTTCAGGAAAAAGAAAACCTAATCCAAGACCAACAGCACTAAAAATAAGTTCACTGCTTATTACCAAAAGCGACAGTACCTAAAATTATTTAACATGCCCAGAAGAGAAGGAGTATTCATTAAACACATACTCTGGGCAAGCCATGGGCTTACACCTAAGCCATGTAATTTAATCTTCACAACAACTGCCCTGAGGGGATGATGCCCTTCTTTTCTTCTAACTGTAAGGAAGAACTGTACGGAAGAGAAGGAGAGTAATGTCCCTTGCTCACTCAACTATGACTACAAATGGCAAAGCCAAGAACTGAACTCAGGTTTGTGTGACATACTTCTATGATGTCTCAGGACTTTCTGGGAAATGTATCTAGCAGGAAAGAACTTCACCATCGCTGTGAATAAAATCAGGGTCTATTAAAACTAACAGGGCCTAGCAAGGTCTTCCTTAGAACTGTTAGCTCTGCATTCCATCTGGAAGTGAATGTTCACAGAGGTACAGTAAACACTAATATAATCACTAAATACAATGTGGCATTATTTTCACTCTTGGGCATTTTAAGACCTTAGAGAAGCTGTACAGTTATAGACAAGTAGTAGGAAATAAACCACTGCCTTCACATTATTTTAAAAAGTAGATAGGGACATATACTAAGTTTGCTTAGGTTTTATTCCTCTGTTGATACTTATATTCAATTAATTTTTTTAAATGCCTGAGGTCTACATGGCTTTATCATCACCACCATCATGGCTGGGCACTTACTATGTGACAGGTCTTTACTCACTTCACCTAACCTTCATAACTTACACCAAGTTGTAAAGTAGGTGTTATTGGCCCCATCATAATCAGTCAAGCAAGGTACACACAGGTACAAAGTGTCAGTGTCAGGACTCAAACCCAGGGCTATCTGACAACAGTCTCATCTCTGATTATGTTTGAAAACATGAAAACAAAACAGTTTTTTAAGACTGGTTACTTATTTTTAAGTGGGGGAAAAAAAACCCACTTTTACCTTCTAAATTAATTATCTCCATTAAAAATAGTCAGGAAGGGGCTTCCCTGGTGGCTCAGTGGTTGAGAATCTGCCTGCCAAAGCGGGGGACACGGGTTCGATCCCTGGTCCAGGAAGATCCCACATGCCATGGAGCAACTAAGCCCGTGCATCACAACTACTGAACCTGTGCTCTAGAGCCTGCAAGCCGCAACTATTGAGCCTGCGTGCTGCAACTACTGAAGCCCGTGTGCCTAGAGCCCATGCTCCACAACAAGAGAAGCCACTACAGTAAGAAGCTGAGCACCGCAACGAAGAGTAGCCCCTGCTCACTGCAACTAGAGAAAGCCTGCATGCAGCAATGAATAGCCAACACAGCCAAAAATAAATTAAATAAATTTTTTAAAAAGTCAGGAATGAGAATGTTGAATCTGTCATCACTGCTAACTAACCTTGCTTAAAATGGGCCCAGAGAACTCTATTCCAAGACTTTCGTACTCAGCACTCTAGCACGTGGACTTAGGAAGAGGCTCCATCGTGGGAATAGAAGGGTTAATGGGACGTACCTCCTAGTTGCAAAGAACTGAAATCCAGGAGCCACTTTCAGACAGTCACCTTGGCCAGGAATCAAGAGCTCTCCATTCTCCAAGAGAGGGATCAGCACGGAAACCTAAATTACAAAACCCCAGTGATAAAGCTATTAAGACAGAAGTAACAAACAAGAAAGCAAAAAAACCCTTTAACCAAATGATGAACACGTCCTTAAAGGAAACCCTACTTCTCACAGCATGAACTGGGGTCAAATGCCAGGCGGGAATACTGGAGCCACCTACACTCCAGCAGAGCAACTTATTCATTCAGCATTCACTGAGTTCCTACTATGGACCAGAATCAAGCAAGACAGGAAAAATCCAGACATGACTGAGGCTTTACAGCCTAGAGTCTGACGGGAGATAGCCATGCAAACTACCATATAGCATGATCGGTGTGACCCCCAAGGGGTGTACAAAACGATATGTGAAGACAGAGGGTGGCTGTAGATCAGTGTGTAGTAGTTTAGAAGCAAGGCAGTGAAGCCATTCTAGAGGTAATGACATTCACTGAGTCTGCAAGTATGAAGAGGGATCAGCCTGGTTTGTTGGGAGAGCAATGGCACATTTACTCTAGGCAAAAATATTCAAATGGATAAAAATGTATATGCCTAAGAGCATGGCAATGAGAGGACTCTTACAGTTAGGGTTAGAGCAGAACGTGTATATGAAGTAGTGGAAAAATACTAGGCTTAGAGATAAATGATAAAAGGCCTTCTGTGCTGAGCTAAGGAGTTTGAATTTTTTTCATGAAGTTGCTGAGAGGATTTTAGTCTGGAGAAAAACCTATTTTTTATTTTAGAAAATGAACTGTGCAACAATATGGAAGATAAACTGAAAGAGAGCCAGCCTGGAGGGAAAGAAGCGAAAAAGGACACCATTCAGGTAACAAAGGTAAGATGGCAGGATAGATTAGATAGACAGACAGACAGATAAAAATAAGAAGGCCTGTGCTAAGGCAGTGGGCTAGGAGGGAACAGAAAAAGAGATAAAGAAAAAGTACTAAGCAATACGAGACTAAGTGAATGCGGGACTAGAGGAAGGAGACACATCAAAATTCTGGCTTGGTAATTGTGTGGCAGGAAAGGCTGTTGCAGGAAAGAGCAGATAAGGTTCATTTTGAACATCCTGAACCTGTACCTGCTAAGGAAGATCCAAGTAGAGATTTTTCAAGAAAAGTATGGACTAGACATACGGGTCTAGGGGATGTGGGTTTACAGAAGTTTGAGGAAAAAAACAGTAAGAAGAACAAAGAGCCAAGGAAGAAGGTCCTAAAATACCAAGGTAATTTTATTGAGCATCCTTATTTCATACATGGCTAGGAGACGAAAGGAAAAATATTATAGGGGCAACTCCAAGATAACTCCGACACTTGAAACAAGAGACAACCATCCTGAACGAGATCTATAAAAGCCATAAAAGCTACCTTAAAATAGTAATTAGTTAGCAATTAGCTGAGAAGTTCTGGAAATAACAAAATAATGATCAAGGGTCCAGGTATGTTTTAAAATAAACACAACTTCACTATAATGATGATGAAGTTTAAATCAACTGAACAGCATACCCTCTGGAACCAAATGTATTGATAGTAACAGAAGGGGAATGGTCTACACAAAATGGAACTCAGAGTACAAGAATTTTCTGATGTTTACCAGACGTTGCCCAAGGAAGATCAAGACAGAAACTAACAGTTTGGCCTTGAAATCTGGACTTGGTCATCAAAGAATGTACTTGGCTATGGCAAAGGGATAGATCCCTAGGCTTCATCATGACCTGAATGGAATATCCCTTATGTTCATCTACCTTCTTTGGCTCAAATTCTATGATTCATAATCCTAATGACTTCCCAGGTACCCTGATGCCTGAAAAAATTGCCCAGGAAAGAGAGCTATAGAAAGCGCTAAGACTCAACAAATACTTTTACATTGGCCTTGCAGTTTATAATTCAGTTTTATTTTTAAGTCTCATTGGTAGTAGTCATCCTTGGCTCTGGGCTTCTTAGGAAATCTGAGTCTCCAGCCCTATAAAACTGAGCATTAAAATCTTAGAACATGGTGGTCAAACTAAGCCAATAACCCCATTACATCTTTACCTCACTAGACTCTAAAATATGTGTGTCATAAGACACACACATATTTATAGTCCCTCCTTCCCCATACATTTCCCTAAACCTAAAGACCTTTCCCACCTCTCCTTCCCCCTCCCCCATCTCTGTCTCCTCTCTCTCTCCAATCCAAGAGGGGAAAGTCCATACACAGGTAGCTTTACGGTTCACGGTAAAAGAAAATTAAAACCAATCTCAGGAAAATCTACCCAAAGGAAGATTTTTTTCATTCTGGAATACATTTTTTTGGTCATAGTTTACAGAATACAGAAGAAACATGGACTGCCTCCATAGCTAAATTTTATACACATATAAAAGTGATCTTTTTGAAGTCAAAAATATACATCCAGTTTATTTTCCTTAATGGAACAAAGACAAACAGGTTCTTATTATATCATCTCTTCTTTCATCTGTCCTCAGCCCACTGCTCTACAAATGCCATAGCCAGGGAGCTGGGTCTCAAAGTTCTCAATGTATATGCAGTATGCATTAAGATGTTTCCCACCAAGCCTATTCTTGGAAAGTCTGTGAAATTGGTCATGTTTTCAACTAAAGGAGGAAAAAAAACTGTGAAATTGATCACATATTCAACTATTAAAGGAAACAGTACAAGCAGAATTTTAATAATTTTCTATCAAACAAGAGATCAGCCCAGTAATCCAAGAACTCAAACCAGATTAGGTAGATAACCAACATACCATCTCTAAAGAAATACCTATGTTGTTTAAATAATCCCCCAGTATCACTATTAACACAATTCTCATTCTCTTCAAAGACAAGAAATTAGCGAGTTACTAGGGAGGTGACATACCACGTCCAAGGGAGCATAGTCAATATCCTCTAGAAGGATCCAGTGTCCGTTTGTGGCCGCCTGTGTCAGGGTACCAGGCTGCCACACAAACTCTCCTGGGACGTCTGTGCAGCGATACATTCCTAACAGCATCTGCAAAAAGAAGATAAAGTAATTATTGAAGCCACACACCTGAGGAGCCAATGCTACATCCTGCGATTAGTTCCATTAAACTTCCACAGGGTTATAACAGGTACCTGAGGTTTTACAGCGTGGTCCCCTCAGTTATGAGGAAGACCAATAACTATTCTCATATTCTCTTAGCAAAAACAATATTTTAATGCAAATATTCACAAGTATGCTCACCAACCAAAATCTGCCATTTCTTTCTTACCTTACTGTCGGTCTGATCTCCAAGTTGGACTTTGAGAAGCTGAGGGGGCTTCCTTCTACCTGTCATTGCAGCTAAATGTTCAACTAAGGAAGTTTTCCCACATCCAATTGGTCCTTCCAACAACACAGCATTCTGAGAAGCCACTGCCATAGCCAGGGTCTGAAGATTTTTGCAGACTGACTCAACCAACACATAAGACCTAAAGGCCAGCTCCTGTTCGCGAGAAGAACTCCAACTACTGGCCTAAGGAGGCAAGTGAAAAATAAAAGACATATCAAGAAGAGTCTTTCCATCAAAGGGCACAGGTTAATTTCTACAACAGTGCTTCCACCGGCTTTTACATAAACCTCTGCCAATAAATTGGTAGTACAGGACCTATAATAACAAGTATGTTATCCAAAGTAAGGATCTGACTTTTTCACTTTCCTTTCTCCCCCGCTACTCCAACTCTGGGGAGAAGGGTGGGAACTCACTAACAAATTTAAGAAAAAGTCTCCCAAACTTTAAGAAGCCACAAAAGTTGACACACAGGGGATGGGAGCAAGCCTCATCTCTAATAACTGGATTTTTGTTTTTCTTTATCTTACCATATTCTAGGATTTCACGTCTAAGATCAAGAATGCACAATACACTTATGAGATCATCAGGGGAGTAAGGACACTGAAAGGATACACTATAAAATTGTTCAATTTTTTCCAGGTGTAATAAAGAGTTCTGGGAATTTTTTAAGTCCTTTTTTTTTTTTTTTTAAATGTTATTGAAGTATAGTTGATTTACAATGTTGTGTTAACTTCTGCTTTACAGTAAAGTGATTCAGCTATACATATATTATTTTTCATTATGGTTAATCGCAGGATACTGAATATATTTCCCTTATATTATATATACATCCTACATATAATAGTTTGCATAAAGTCCTTTCCTTTTACACACACACACACACACACACACACACACACACACACAAAAAACTACAAGCATACCTCAAAGATTTCGCAGGTTGAATTCCAAACCACAGCAATAAACCAAATACCATAACGAAGCAAGTCACACAAAATTTTCGGTTTCCCAGTGCACATACAAGTTATGTTTACACTACACTGTGGTCTATTAAGTGTACAACATAGCTTTATGTCTTAAAGACAATGTACATACCTTAATTTAAAAATACTTTATTGCTAAAAATGCTAATGATCATCTGAGACTTCACCAAGTTGTAATCTTTGCAATAGTAACATCAAAGACCACCAGTCACAGATCACCATAACAAATATAATGAAACCGTTTTAAATATTTCAAGAATTACCAAAATGTGACAACAGAGACACGAAGTGAGCAAATGCTGTTGGAAAAATGGCACCAACAGACTTGCTCAAGGCAGGGTTGCCACAAACCTTGTTAAAAAAAAAAAATGCAATATCTGAGAAGCACAAGAAAACAAGGTATGCCTATATTTAGCTAAGAAATGATGTGGTATCTGGGAGTTGCTTCAAAACAATATGGTGTGAGGACAGTGTTCAGAAATATAAATGCAACATTACTGATCATGAATTTATAATTACTGAAGCTGAATGATGGGTACATGTGGATTCATTACACTATTGTTTCTACTTTGGAATACGTTTAACATTTTCCTTAACAAAAAGTAAAATAATAATAATAATGCATCCAATATGTTTAATGGGTAGTTTCAGTTTTGCAAGATGAAAAAGTTCTGGAGCTTGTTTGCTAACAATGTGAATATACTTAACACCACTGAAGAGCACACTTAAAAATGGTAAAGATGGTAAATGTTACATTCATTTTACCACAATTTAAACAAATTTTATTAACAATGGACCTAATATGACACAGGAAAAAAGGACCTCTTGGAAAAGTGCAACGATTATTAACTTTTAAGGAATGGTAAATTCTCAAACATAGCTTGTCCCCTAAAGATATGTGAGGACAAAATGAGATTCAGGGCTGGAAGTTCTAGAACTTTTTGCAGAGCTGTTACTCTTAGCAACCGGCAGGCAGGCTGGGCTGTAGCTCCATTCTGCACTTCTGCCCCAGTGTTCTGCCACTGCCACCCAGTATATCAAGCCTACCCCAACCAGAATCCTTCCCTATGTTAAAGTTCTAATGCTCCAAACCTAATCTATGTTAGGAGAGCGGTTAAAGAGGGGTGGGGAGGTCTTCCTGACCAGAGGGAAACACAAGGTGCTTTGGAAATGCTGGCATCTCAGTGCTGGTGACGGAGATATTTAGTTTATGAATAATCATGCAGCTGTACACTTACGACATGCACTTTTTTATATCTGTATTATACTTATCTTTCTAATTTTGTACTTCCCAGATACAAACTGATAGTTCAAGGAATGACTCAGGACTTGTTCCAGGAAGAAAACTGGGTGGGTTTGACCATCAGACAAAGTGACAACTGACTAAAGACTGCTGGGGAAAAACAGACTGGTTCCCAGTGTTCCCAGATTATGGAACCAGACTCTGATTTACAAGACTTTCCAAAGTGTAGTCTGGAGGCACACTCTTGGAAAGGTCATTTGCTATGGCAGGGGAAGAGTTCACTACAGATGCTAGCCTCTCACACAACAGGCAAAGAGAATATTCTGACAGAAAGAGGCCGGGGAGTTACACCTGGGCCTAGCCCCATCTCTGCCAAAGGACAGCCCACAGGTCCTGGGCAAGTCATTCTGCCTTAGTTTTACATAAATATGCTATCACAACGTGGGCCACCCAACTTCAAACAGCTGTTGTAGCAAGTAAATGAGGTCATACACGGAAGAGCTTTGCTAAAGTTAAAAGCTTTTGCATAGGCATCATTACAATTTCTGACTTCACACTAAATAGGGACAAACTGACAATCAAAGAGGAGGGTCCTGGGTGAATTTCTCTTACTCTCTCCCTGAACACTTCTGTAAGTGGAACAGTAATCTGGCAAACTCGATTTGGCGCACACCTAGAACACAGAGCCCAGCCAAGGAAAAATGCACACTCAGTGTTTGGATGGAAGAGGGCACACACGCCACTGCTGTCAACATACCTGCTCCCCAGGGGCTGGCGGCTGCCCAGGCAGCAGCACACCACAGACAGCAGTCACCCTGGAGGAGAGGTCAGCTGAAACAAGGTGTCCTTGTAAATACTGCAGCTCCTTCTCCTTACGCCAAAGGGAGGCTTCTGGATTGGCCAACATCAAGGCTTTCTCTAAGTCCTGCAGCTGGGCCTCTTCTAGTAACCTGAGGAAAATGAGGATCTCATCAACTACTCTAACGCCCGGTAAAGCCACATCAAGATCTCCAGGAATGCTCCTGCTTACCTTAACCGGAAATGGATCAGTTCCTCACTATTAAAAATCTTCTTAAGGAATGATAACTTGTGCTCTTCATTCATACAGGTGACCAAAGAAAGACAATTGGCTGTGTACCTGGAGAAAACCAAAGTATATAAACTCAGGACCTGCAGCTGATTCTAAAGAATAAAGGAAATTTGCTAGCCAACTGAACACTAGAAAAGGAAATCTTATAATTAACACAGGGAAGGGTAGAAAACACAAATCAGGCAAAATAAATTCACCTAATGGAACACAAAACAATGGAATTCCACTCATACCATCTGATTTCCCTCTGAAATGACACATGAAAGGGAATAAGAACCCCAAAGGGACCAGAACAAAAATGACATCTTTTAAAAGGTTTCCCTTCCCTCCTCATGCACACAACTCCAGACTCCCTCAACCATCCCCACACTAGAAGCACAGGAACAGCCCAACAGCTACGCACCAGCGGACCAAGATGTCATGGCTCCTGAGGAGTGGGATGCACACGCTCCAGTCCCAGAGCTCCCGGAACACAGACTGCTCTTGCTGCAGAAACTTGTAAGCTGCTTCCATTAGGTCCCGGAGCTTCATCCGCCTGCGCCCATACCGGACTGGATTTGCATCTGAGCTCTCTAGGAAGAGTCTTTGAAAGACTGGAGAAGTGTCCTTGAAATACTTCAGGGCAAACCTTCAGAAAGAAGAAGAACTTTCATTGCTTGGTAAGAATATCAAAGTATACATATCCACTTAATGAGACAACGGAACATAACAGTAACTCCCAAGGGTTTGAGAACCAAAAGAGATGAATGCTTAAAGCCACTAGTCCTAAGATTATATTCTGTTCAAGTTCAGGAACCAGAATTGCAGCATGAGATATCTAAGAGGAAACAAAAACCACAAGAACTTATCACAAGTGTTTACTACTGAAAATAAACTCATTTTCAACAAATATTTATTGACTTCTCACTATGAGTTACACACTGTGTTTCAGACACTGTGTTAAGTCCTGGAGGTACAAAACCAAGAAGATACTTTCCTTGAGGAGCCTGCTATCTAGGAAGGAAGAGAGTCACAGAAACGAGAGGCACAAAGAAAACAGATTCAACTGAACCTGGGAGAGTCAAGAACAGATGCTTTGGCTGCAACTTAAAAGATGAAGAGGTGGGCTTCCCTGGTGGCGCAGTGGTTGAGAATCTGCCTGCCAATGCAGGGCACACGGGTTCGGGCCCTGGTCTGGGAGGATCCCATATGCCACGGAGCGACTGGGCCCGTGAGCCACAACTACTGAGCCTGCGCGTCTGGAGCCTGTGCTCCACAACAACAGAGTCCGCAATAGTGAGAGGCCTGCACACCGCGATGAAGAGTGGCCCCCACTCGCCACAACTAGAGAAAGCACTCGCACAGAAACGAAGACCCAACACAGCCATAAATAAATACAATTAATTAATTAAAAAAAAAAAGATGAAGAGGTGATCCTCATGAGAGAGAGTAAGACTGGAAAAGAGGGACAAAAAGCTACAAGACATACAGGAAATAATTAACAATGGCAATAGTAAGTCCTTCTGCATCAGTAATTACTTTTAATGTAAATGGTTTACTCACAATCAAAAGACACAGATTAGCTGAATGGATATAAAAAAGAAAAAAAAACAGCATCGAACTATATGCTATGTACAAGAAACCCACTTTGGATCTCAGGCTACACATAAGGTGAAAGTGAAGAGATTAAAAAAAGAAAATCCATGCAAATGATAATCCAAAGAAAGCAGGAGTGACTATATTAATACCAATCAAAACAGACTTTAAATATTTTTATTTATGTATTTATTTGGCTGTGCCGGGTCTTAGTTGCGGCATGCGAACTCTTAGTTGCAGCATGTGGGATCTAGGTCCCTGACCAGGGATCGAACCCAGGCCCCCTGCATTGGAAGCACGGAGTCTTAGCCACTGGACCACCAGGAAGTCCCCAAAACAGACTTTAAATGGATAGAATAATGAGACAGAAGATCAATAGGGAAACAGAGGACTTGAACAACACTATAGACCAAAGGGACCTAACAGACACATACAGAATACTCTACCCAGCAACAGCAGAACATATATTCTTCTCACATGCACATGGAACATTCTCCAGGATAGGGCACATGTAAGGATGCAAAACAAGTCTCAACAAACTTTAAAGTACTGAAATTACACAAAATACCTTTTGAATAATAACACAAAATATTACAATAGAATGAAACTAGAAAGCAACAGCAGAAGGAAAACTGGAAAATCCTCAAATATGTGGAAATTAAACAACACGCTCTTAAACAACCAAGAGATCAAATAAGATATTACAAGGAAAATTAGAAAGGACCTTGAAACAAATGAAAAGAAAAATACAACACACCAAAACCTATGGGATACAACAAGAGCAATGATAAGAGGGAAGTTTATAGCTACAAACACGTATATTTTAGGAGATCTCAAGCTAACAACCTAACTTTACACCTCAAGTAACTAAAAAAAAGAATAAACTAAACCCAAAGCTAACAAGAGAAAGGAAATAATAAAGATTAGAGCAGAGATACAGACCAGAAAAACAACAGGGAAAAAAAAAAAATCAACAAAACTAAGCGTTGGTTTTTGAAAAGACCAAGAAAAGTGATACACTCTTAGGTTAACTAAGAAAAAAATAGAAGGTTCAAAAAACAACAGAAATGAAAGAGGGGACATTATGGATGCCACAGAAATAAAATAGACTATAAGGAATACCATGAGGGAATTCCCTGGCGGTTCAGTGGTTAGGGCTCCATGCTTCCACTACAGGGGGCATTGGTTCAATCCTTGGTGGGAGAACTAAGATCCCGCATGCCACATGGCGTGGCCAAAAACAACAACAAAAAAAAACCACACACACACACAAAAAATTAACAATTGTTGGTATGGATGTGGAGAAGCTGGAATCCTTGTGCACTGTTGGCAGGATAACATGGTGCAACTCCATGAAAAACAGTACAGAGGTTCCTTTAAAAAAAAAAATAGGGGGCTTCCCTGGTGGCACAGTGGTTAAGAATCCACCCACCAATGCAGGGGACACGGGTTCAAGCCCTGGTCCGGGAAGATTCCACATGCCGCAGAGCACCTAAGCCCATGAGCCACAACTACTGAGCCTGCGCTCTAGAGCCCGCGAGCCACAACTACTGAGCCCACGCACCTAGAACCCATGCTCCGCAACAAGAGAAGCTGCCACAATGAGAAGCTGGCGCACCACAATGAAGAGTAGACCCTGCTCGCCGCAACTAGAGAAAGCCTGCGCGCAGCAACGAAGACCCAATGCAGTTAGCCATCCATCCATCCATAAATAAATAAATACATATATACATATATAAGTTTTATTTAAAAAACTAATAATAAGTAGGGACTTCCCTAGTGGCGCAGTGGATAAGACTCTGTGCTCCCAATGCAGGGGGCCTGGGTTTGTTCCCTGGTCAGGGAACTAGATCCCATGTGCATGCTGCAACTAAGAGTTCACATGCCACAACTAAGGAGGCTGCCTGCTGGACCTGGCACAACCAAATAAATAAATAAATATTTACAAAAATAAAACTAGCTTATCTTTTTTTCACCACAAAGCAAACATACTAATTTAATTACAGATTGAAATACAGTGAATCACACGATGCACTTATCCTTATGGCCCAGCAATCCCACTTCTAGGTATATAGCCAAAAGAACTGAAAGCAGGGTCTCAAAGAGATTTTTGCACACACATGTTCATAACAGCACTATTCACAATAGCCAAGAAGTGGATGCAACCCAAATGTCTTTTGACAGATGAATAAACTGTGGTATATACATACAATGCAATACTGTGTAAACTTAAAAAGGAAGTAAATCCTGTCACATTCAACAGCATATATGAACCTTCAGGACATTATGCTAAGTAAAGTAAGCCAACCATAAAAGGATAAATATTGTATGATTTCATCTATATTAGGTATCTAAAGTAGTCAAATTCACAGATACAGAAAGCAGAATGGTGATTACTTGGGAGCTGGGGTGAAGGAGCACAGGGGAATTGTTTAGAGAGTATAAAATTTCAGTACTGCAAGATGAAAAACGTCTGGAGACCTGTTTTACAACAATGCAAATATATTTAACACTACTGAATTGCATACTTAAAAATGGTTAAGATGGAAAATTTTATGGGTTTTTTTTTACCATAATTAAAAAAAGTATGTGCATTTTTTTTGCAGTACGTGGGCCTCTCACTGTTGTGGCCTCTCCCATTGCGGAGCACAGGCTCCGGACGCTCCACGGCATGTGGGATCTTCCCGGACCAGGGCACGAATCCGCGTCCCCTGCATTGGCAGGCGGACTCTCAACCACTGCGCCACCAGGGAAGCCCAGTATGTGCATTTTTAAGAATGAAAATAAACTTTAAAAACTTAAACATACTCTACAGAATTTATGTAGACTGCAAACATGGTGATTCTCAGTAGATTCAGGTAGTAAATGATGTAGAAGCACACCCTTGTTGTTTCTACCGTACTCCTTGGCATGTTGAGTAGAAGGAAACCCAGGAAGTGGGAAAAGGAATCAAAGCAAACTCCTCTGTGCCCTTTATGTATTGGTCTACAATGAAAGCTATTGGTTTAGCTCTTTCTGTACTCTCATTATCCCGATCTACTCGGAAGTGGGACTAGAACAGGGAGTATGTCAACAGTAGGTATTATTATCCCAAATGTAAAGCTAAGGAAACTGAAGTGGTTAGTTTATTTGCTCAAGGTCACAAAGCTACTAAGTGTAAAGAGGCTATCTGAATCCAGGCTTTCCAACTCCACAATCAGATGTGTGATTCAGTTGCTCTACTACAGAGATGAAGAAAGTGGATTCATCAAGAGTTGGAGTTTTCTAGCTAGATAAGAACACTAAACCGACGGACAACAAAGCAGATATTAATAGAAAGACAGCAACCATAAGGTCAAAAATAGAATTTTAAGCCACATAAGGAAGGTACAAACTGGAAAGAGCTGATTAACAGAAAGAAAGAATTGGCAGTCCCAGTGAGGAGAAAGACTAGTGTGTTAAGTGAACTAGTGGGATAGGAGATGGCAGTCTGGGAATGGAGCGTTTGAGCCAGTGACTTGTAAGGTGGTGGTGCAGATGTGAGCTAGACCCAGGGTGTGACCACTGCAGTGAGCAGGGTAGGTGAAATGAACACAGAAGTCCACTGGAGATTAACTAGTCAAGGAACAACAGAGTCAGCACTCCATGGATATTCCAAGTGTGACACAGGAGCTGGGGTGGGGAAGACGATGGGCCGGTTGCCAAGTTCTTCAAAGAAGGAAGAGGAGCTCGGAAGTTCATCAGTGATCACAAGAAAGCAGCAGCAGAAAATAAAGCAGAAGATGGCAGGTGTCATGGCAACAAGAATGTCCAGAACACTTCACAGAACAGAAAGGAGGACACCCACTAAACATGCAGACTGTGAGGGATATGGAGGGTGCGATTAAAGACCCCATTCCCTGTTAAGGACCAACACGAACACAATATCAAGACCACCGTAAATCAGTGAAGACAAGGAAGCAAAAGTAACATTCAGAGAAGAGGCTAAGTATACAAGGGAGTGTGCAGGTTATGGAGCACAAGCAGGGAAAGGGTTTGGGTGAGGGAAGAGGCCTGGATGTCAGCTGGGTGGGA